TTTCGCTGTAATATTTTTCCCCATTCTATATGGCTTTATAGCAATGTTATTTAAAAAAGCAAAAAATAACATTTTTATCACTCTGGAAAGATATTTATGTCTAGGCTTGTAAAGTAAGATCAGCCTCTAGGCAAACAGGGAGGGAAGTGTTTGTAAATTGGAAACAAGATTTCCCCCCTCCTTTTTTAGATGGTGAATGTGCCAAATGAATTATGCCGGAATGTTCTGCAAGGAAAACAGTAAGTGCCCTATACATGCAGACTTTTTCAAAAGTATCTTGCCATTAAACAAATAATTATGAATGCACAATAGACAAATATTTTAATGTGGTAGACTCTCCATTCTACTTCCAAGAGCTATGCTGCTTCTTGTGGATTTATGGAATTTATCTGGCTGACATTTCTAAATGCCCCTCTCTGAATCACAAATCCTAGGTGGCAGCCATAGCACTTACAGAGGAATAATAATAATAACGCTATAATAATACACCATGGTATTGGCAACTATCTCATAGCAGGTTAGGGAAGTCTGGCCCTCTAGATATTATTGAGTTACAGGTCACAGTTAGCCTTAGTTACCTCCAGGTTGGACTACTGTAATGCACTGTACGTAGGGCTGCCTTTGAAGACAGCCCAGAAACTGCAGATAGTGCAAAGATCAGCAGCCAGGTTGTTAAATGGAGCAAATTACAGGGAGCGGTAAGTCACCCTGTTCAAACAGCTCCACTGACTGCCGATAAGTCTCTGGTCCCAATTTAAGATTTTATTTATTATTTATTTATTTGGAGCATTTATTAACCGCCATTCTCAGCCCACTCGGGCGACTCACGGCGGTGTACAGTACAAAAGGCAATTCACACAAAGACAAGTACAACAGCATAAAAACAATACAACAGTTAAAATTACACTAACTAATCCGCTTCGTCTCGTAATAGAATCGTGACCAATCTCGTATTCCTTGTACCATTCCAGTCGTCTTTACCACATTACTATAGCACTTAATTAAATGCCCTCTCGAACAGCCACGTCTTGAGGCTTTTTCGGAAGGACAAAAGAGAGGGCGCCTGCCTGATGTCTGTAGGGAGAGTGTTCCACAACCGGGGGGCCACCACTGAGAAGGCCCTCTCTCTCGTCCCCGCCAGGCGTGCCTGTGAGGCAGGCGGGATCGAGAGAAGGGCCTCCCCAGACGATCTCAAGGTCCTCGTGGGCTCATAGGCCAAGATGCGGTCTGAAAGGTATTTTGGGCCGGAGCCGTTCAGGGCTTTGTAGGCCAACACCAGCACCTTAAATTGGGCCCGGTAGCAAATCGGCAGCCAGTGGAGCTGGGACAACAAGGGCGTTGTGTGCTCCCTGCGTCCCGCTCCGTTAGTAACATGGCTGCCGCGCGCTGAACTAGCTGAAGCTTCCGGGCCGTCTTCAAGGGCAGCCCCACGTAGAGAGCGTTGCAGTAGTCGAGGCGGGATGTGACCAAAGCGTGTACCACCGTGGCCAAGTCAGACTTCCCAAGATACGGGCGCAGCTGGCGCACGAGCCGAAGCTGTGCAAATGCTCCCCTGGTCACCGCCGAAACCTGGGGATCCAGGCTCAGCGATGAGTCCAGGGTCACACCCAAGCTGCGAACCTGCGCCTTCAAGGGGAGTGCGACCCCATCCAGCACAGGCTGTAACCCTATACCCTGTTCGGCCTTGCGACTGACCAGGAGTACCTCTGTCTTGTCTGGATTTAGTTTCAGTTTGTTCGCCCTCATCCAGACCGTCACAGCGGCAGGCACCGGTTCAGGACCTCGACAGCCTCCTTAGTAGCAGGTGGAAAGGAGTGACAGAGTTGGACATCATCTGCGTACAGATGACACCGCACCCCGAAACTCCGGATGATCTTACCCAGCGGCTTCATGTAGATATTAAACAGCATGGGGGACAGTATGGAACCCTGTGGAACCCCACAAGTCAAAGGTTGTGGGGCAGAACAGGAGTCCCCCATGGTCTGTGAGAAGGCCTTATTGGTACATTCTTTAAACTCTTATGTTTATTCATATAATGATCTGATCACCATGCTCAATATATCCCATATGCATGGGGGTAATTGGGATAACGATACAAAAGGTTTGCTAGGGTAGATCCTCAGCCCCCCACAAATCTCGCCCTGAACGATTTGGGACCTGCCTATCTTTGTGACCACATCTTCCCTTATGTACCTGCACGATCTCTAAGATCTGAGGAAGTCCTTCTCTCACTCCTGCTACTGTCACAAGCGTGGATGGTGGGGATGAGGCAGAGGGCCTTCTCAGTGGTGGCCCCCTGGCTCTGGAACTCCCTCCCCAGGAAGATTAAGCTAGATTAAGCTAACACCCACCCTGGTGTTCAGAATACTCTTTGATTGTAGGTGAATTATAAATCCCAGTGACTACAACTCCCAAATGTTAAGGTTTACTTTCCCCAAACTCCACCAGTGTTCACATTTGGCCATATTTAGTATTCATACCAAGTTTGTCCAGATCCATCATTGTTTCAGTCCACAGTGTTCTCTGGAAGTAGGTGAACTATAATTTCAAAACTCAAGATCAATGCCCACCAAACACTTTGAGTATTTTCTACCTTCGTGACCATATTTCCTTCTACGAAACTGCACGACCCCTTCGATCTTCTGGGGAGGCCCTCCTCTCGCTTCCTCCTCCGTCATAAATGCGACTTGTGGGGATGAGGGAGACGGCCTTCTCTGTGGTGGCCCCTTGGCTTTGGAACTGGCTACCTGGAGAGATTAGGCAAGCAACCACCCTGAAAGCCTTCAGGAAGAGTCTAAAAACCTGGCTGGTCTGGTGTGCCTTTGAGGAATGAATACAAATCCTCACACCATGACCAGCTCAGTACAATATGCCCTTTGATGCACTTTATCTCATCCTTGAGTGAAATTTGCCCCATGGCTTATCCATCTGAAATCCCCCACCAGGCACACTACCCCTCATTCATCTCATCCAGGGTTTTTATATTTTCAATTCTACCCCTTGTATCAGATATGTGCGCCAAATTTGGTCCACCGAATGGAAATACATCTTGTTTATCAGACATTTACATTACGATTCAGGACAGTAGTAAAACTGCAGTTATGAAGTAGCAATGAAAATAATTTGATGGTTGGGAGTCCCCACAACATGAGGAACTGTGTTAAGGGGTTAGGGCATTAGGAAGGCTGAGAAACACTGTCAGACAATCCAGCTCATAGCAGATAATCTGGGTTCAGAAACTGTATTATACAGCAATGCAAATCCATCCTGTATCAGCTCTACTGTTGTAGATACACTCCTGGACAGAGTTGGGCAAACCGGAAACCAACCACTTCATCACATTAGAGAATGAAACCACTATGCAGATCTTTGTTGCCAGTGTGATGGCTCTACCCTTAACTATTTTATCAATGCAGTGTCCAGTAACAGCTATCCCAGAGCAAAAAACAATATTTGAACTCCTTGATTCACACAGATTTGCTATCATTGACATTGACTACTTCATCGCACTAGAATCCACTTTAAATTCGGTTGCTGCCTCCTGCAGAATTCTGGGGTTTGTAGTTTAGGGAGGAGCTTTTTACAGCCTCACTAAACTACATACCCCAGAATTATGCAGGAGGCAGAAACCGGATATAAAGTGGTTTCATTATCTAGTGTGAGTGGGTGCAAAGTATGAGGCAGTCGAGGCAGCTAGAGTCGCGCGTGGCTATCCTCGTGGCCTTTCCGTCTCCTCCGAGGGAAGTCGATCCGAAGCAGGCCTTTGGGTAGATCGGAAMATCTCCCGAATCAGAAGCGACGAGGGTTGAAGCGGCCGGAAAGCGAATCCCGACGCGGCTAGACCTGTAGGGCTTAGGCCCCACGGAGTACGTGGAGTTTGCCCCTATAGAAGCTGTCCCGGGCCTCAAGGCCAGGGAGGGGTCTTTTCACCAAGTCTTTGACCGTCCCTGCCTCAGCGAACTATAAATCCCACCATCTTAGAGTGTTTCAAGTGGTGCCCAACTGCAAGAGCAGGCCTGGGCCAACTTGGGCCCTCTATGTGTTTTGGACTCCAACTCCCACCATTCTTAAGAACCTCAGGCCCCTTCCTTTTCCTCTTAAGCGGCTGAGGGGGCTGATAGGAATGGGGGAAGTTGCAGTCCAAAACACCTGGAGAGAGAGAGGGCCCAAGCCTGTGCTAGATGGTTAAACAAATGGCCATACTTCCTTCATTTTTACTTTTTTAGTGTAAACCCATTTGGCGAAGTGACTTGGGACTAATATTAGCCAATGTGCGATTTTCTCTCCATAATTTGGAGTATATCTTAGATGAGAAGTGTCACTCTTACCAAATAAAACTTAGCACCTCAAATTTGAATACTTAGGACCGCGAGAGTGGACAGTACCGTCTTTGTCCCGCCTTGATTAGCACTGAATGGCCTTGCAGCTTCAAAGCCTGGCTGATTTCTGCTTGGGAGGTGTTACCTGGCCTCGATTGATTGTTCAGCGGCTGAGGGGGAAAAGGAAGGATCCTGAAGCTAAGTTCTTGTGGGTTTTTTCGGGCTATATGGCCATGTCTAGAGGCATTTCTCCTGACGTTTCGCCTGCATCTATGGCAAGCATCCTCAGAGGTGAGGATGCTTGCCATAGATGCAGGCGAAACGTCAGGAGAAATGCCTCTAGAACATGGCCATATAGCCCGAAAAAACCCACAAGAACTTAGTGATTCCAGCCATGAAAGCCTTCGACAATACAGTGATCCTGAAGCTGCTAGGAATGGTGGTAGCTGGAGTCCAAAGCACCGGGAGGGAGGAGGGCCCAAGTCGTTCCGAAGTGCGAGCGGCTTTGGCTCCTCTCCGCCGCGGAACTCCAAGGCGCTGCAAAGTTCCCCCGCCTGCCTCGCTTCCCCTTCCCCTTCCCGGTTCCCCCATCCATTCGGGTCCGTCCGAGTCAAGGAAAGGCGAGGAAACCCTCTCAGCTTTTTGCTGTTGCTTCCCAATTGCCGTGAACCTCCTTGTCGCGCAGGGAAAACACCGCGCAAGACATACACACAGAGGAGCCGGCTTCCCGTTGCCCGCGAAAGGAAGGGAAAGAGGAGGTTTTTTGGCCAGGGCTGGGGAGCCTTTCCTCCTCTCTCCCGGCCCCCCTCTCCTCCCATAGAAGGAGAGCCGCTGACTACTGTCCCTTGGCCTCTCTGGCGGAGAAGGGAAGCCGGCGAGAGGGGAGGCTCCTCGGCGCGGTCTCGAGCGGGTCCCCCGTTAAGCCCCTCCTCCGGCTCCCTTCTCGGCTCGGAGGGAGGGAGAGTGGGAAGGCGGCCCGGGACTCCTCCTTTTCCCTGGGCTGCCAGGAGGGAGGCTGGGGCTGGAGCCATGCCCCTCGCGAGGAAGAGCAAGCGGCGGAGGAGGAGGAGGCAGAAGAGGAGGAGGATGAGGACCACGGCGGCGGCGGATCTCCGCCGGTAGCGCGCCGCCTGGAAGGAGGGCTCGGGCTCGGGCTCGGCGCGTCCTTCGGGGGCTCTCCTTCCCCTTCTCCCTCCGCCTCGGCCATGAGGCGCCTGAACCGACGGCTGGTCTGGTGGCTCCTGAGCGTGGCGTGGGTGGCGGCGCTGGTGCTGCTCTTCCTGGGGACGCGGAGGCGCGGGGACGGCGCGGGGCAGAGCCCCAGCACGGCGCCCAAGGTAAAGAAGGGGGAAAGAGGGAGAGAGAGAGAGATGGGGAAAGGGGGAAAGGGAGAGAAGCGCGCGGGGCTCCGGCTGCGGGGGTGCAGGAGGCGAGGGAAAAAGGGGAGACCCGTGCGGAGCCGTCTCTTCTCGAGCGGGTCCCAAACTTCCTCGCCACACTTTTGGCCGGCAAGTTGCGCTCTCTCTCCGAAAAGCCCTGGAAGGAGAGAGAGAGGCAGTAAGAAGCCTCGCCTCTCTAGGAAGGAAGGTTCAACCCGCCCTTTGCTTCTCCATCTATAGAGTTAGGCAGTTCTGACACCGCTTGAACGGCCAAGAGCTCAATAGCGATGGGGAGTTGTAGTTTGACAAGCTCTTCCAAAAAGGATTGCCGCCTCACCCAAACTATCAATCTCACACGTCCATGGCTTGCTTGTTTACTTACTTAGGCGGTCCCTCGTAGCTCGAGGATGATGGTCCTCCAAGTGGAGTGTCTTGGCGGTGGGTCCCTAGGTGGCTGTGGAGCACGATTCTTGATCCGCATGTTCTCCCACAGTGGGGACATCGGTTTCCAGGTAGAAGGCGATCCCGATCAGGATTGGCACTCCTTCCTCTTGGCGCTTTTCTCCCCCTCGCCCTCTATTTGTGCCTCTTTGAATTCTGCAGCACAGCTGGTCACAGCTGACCTCCAGTTAGAGCACTCAAGGGCCAGGGCTTCCAAGTGCCCAGTGTCTATGCCACAGTTGTTAAGCTTGGCTTTAAGCCCATCGTTAAATCTCTTTCCCCTCCCTTTCGCCCTCCATTCATGCTTCTTTGAATTCTGCAGCACTGATGATCACAGCTGACCTCCAGTTAGAGCACTCAAGGGCCAGGGCTTACAAGTAACCACTGTCTATGCCACAGTTTTTAAGGTTGGTTTTATGCCCATCTTTAAATCTCTTTTCCCTCTCTTTCACCCTCCATTCGTGCCTTCTCAAATTCCACAGCACTGCTGGTCACAACTGACCTCCAGTTAGAGCACTGGAGTGCCAGGGCTTCCCAGTTCTCAGTGTCTATGCCACAGTTGTTAAGCTTGGCTTTTAAGCCCACCTTTAAATCTCTTTCCCCTCCCTTTCATCCTCCATTCATGCCTCTTTGAATTCTGCAGCGCTGCTGGTCACAGCTGACCTCCAGTTAGAGCGCTCAAGGGGCAGGGCTCCCCAGTTCTCAGTGTCTATGCCACAGTTTTTAAAGTTGGCTTTAAGGCCATCTTTAAATCTCTTTTCCTGTCCACTAACATTGCGTTTCCGGTCTTGAGTTCTGAGTATAGTAACTGCTTTGGAGATGGTGACCAGGCATTTGGACAATATAGTCAGTCCAGGAGAGTTGAACCTCTGTGGCACTGAAACTAGCATCCTATGGGTTTAATTCTGTGGTGTGAGCCGGGCATGGGCAAACTTGGGCCCTCCCTCCAGGTGTTTTGGACTTCAACTCCAACGATTCCTAACAGCTTCAGGCCCTTTCCTTTCCCCCCTCAGCCGCTTAAGCGGGCCTGAGACTGTTAGGAATAGTGGGAGTTAGAATCCTAGACTTAGAAGAGACCTTGTGGGCCGTCCAGTCCAACCCCCTGTCAAGACGTAGGAAAATCACATTCAAAGCACCCCTGACAGATGGCCATCCAGCCTCTGCATATTGTTTTATCATGTCAGAAGTGAACCGAGGGTACAGTTGCAATATATTAAAAACACAAAGAAAGTTTAAAAACTTGGCATTATACTAAATGTCCTTTGAATGTGTGGCAGATAACATATCAGCTAGTCATATCAGTTAGAGTGACTATTAAATTCCATTTACCTTGCCATATAATACAGTTTTGTTTTGATTTATTGTGTCAGAAGTGAATTGAGAGTACACTTATCATGTATTTAAAAACACAAACAAAGTTAATAGCTTGCCATTATACTAAATGCCCTTTGACCAGTAGCTGGCTGCTTGGAGTGCCTCTGGTGTTTGTATAAAACGGTCCTCCATTGTGCATGTGGCAGGGCTCAGACTACATTGTAATAGGTGGTCTGTGGTTTGCTCTTCTCCACACTGGCATGTCATGGACTTCACTTTGTGGCCCCATTTCTTAAGGTTGACTCCGCACCTTGTGGTGCCAGAGTGCAGTCTGTTCAGCCCCTTCCAGGTTGTCCAATCTTCTGTGTGTCCAAGAGGGAGTCTCTCATTCTGTATCATCCATGGCTTGAGGTTCTGGGTTTTAGCCTGCCACTTTTGGACTCTCGCTTGCTGAGGTGTTCCTGCTAGTATCTCTGAAGATCTTAGAAAACCATTTCTTGATTTAAGGAAAGGTGTGCTGGTTGATATCTGAACAGGGGATAGGCTGGAGATGTCACTTGGTCCTTTCATTATTGGCTGCTACTTTTCGACGGATGTCAGGTGGTGCAATACTGGCTAAACATTATAATGTTTCCATTGGTGTAAAGCCTCCAAAGAAAGAGCCTCCACCACACTCTGGGGCAGAGACTTCCACTGCTGAACAGCTCTCCCAGTCAGGAAGTTTTTCCTAATGTTCAGATGGAATCTCCTTTCCTGTAGCTTGAAGCTATTGTTCTGTGTCTTAGTCTCCAGGGCAGCAGAAAACAAGCTTGCTTCCTTCTCACTATGACTTTCCCTCACATATTTATACATGACCCTCATCATGTCTCCTCTCAGCCTTCTCTCTTGCAGGCTAAACATGTCCAGCTCTTTAAGCCGCTCCTCATAACTGAAGTCCAAAACACCTGGAGAGCCCAAGTTTGACCATTCCTGTTGGACCTTCAGTTCAGTCTTTCTGGGGATGTGTTCAATGGACACGTGTATTCAGTCTTATGGATAAGCATCCTTCTCCCTTTGAATAAACACTGAAGCAAGCCTTTGAAATACACAAGCATGTGGACAATTTCAACAGATAGGACAACACCATGAAAATGAACAAAATCTGGTTGCCAGTACTAAAAAAACCTCTAAAATCAGGACAGTAAATAAAGAGCAACATTCCAAAAAATGGGGGAATTCCCAACAAGAAACAATCAGGGCCAGCTAACACCTCCCAACAAAGGATTCCCCTAGGCAGGAATCAGCCAGGCCTTGAAGCTGCAAGGTTTTGCAATGCAAATCAAGGTGATTAATTGCAGCATTCACACTTTCCTCCAACAGACAAGCGTTCTTTCTCCCTCCCTGACTTTCCACAAATATATAAACCTCCCTTGCTTAGTTTCCACTACACCTCACAGCCTCTGAAGATGCCTGCCATAGATGCAAACAATAGGAAAGAATGCTTCTGGAACATGGCCATACAGCCCGGAAAACTCACAGCAACCATTGAAGCAAGCGCTCAGCAATGCACCCCTGCTCCTCAACGGTTGGCCCCCTACCTTCTGCTTCTGGTAGGGTGCAAAGGGAAGATAAGGCTTGTTTGGGATGAGCGGGAGCCAGAAACCTCCTCCAAGAATGAGGTGCTCTGTGTCTCTTGAAGTGCAACTCTTGATTGAAGTGAGGCCAGAATGAAGGCTGGGTGTTTCCCCTTTTCTGCGCAACTTGAGCATGTTTTTCCCCCTCACATGCGATGCTCAAGCATTTTCCCCTTGGACTGGAATCACTCCCAGCCTCTCTTTCTCTGGGACCAAAAGAAATGGCAGGCAGCCAATTTTAAGTCAAATGTACACTTAACCAAGGTGGATTTTTACTACCAAATTACAGAGGTGGGAAACTGTTTTTAAAAAATAATTAAGCGTCATTTGTGGGAAATGGCCTTAATGCCTCTAAACGTTTCACTTCAGTGTCACCAGTTGCTGCCTTGAATGGTTAAATGACTGAAGTTTGAATTATTTCTTACGTCTTGCATTTCTTAGGTCTGTAATTTGAATGAATGTAAAACTCAGACTGGCAAGAGCCCATGTTTGATTTCAAAACTTGTCAGTCTTCGCTTTTCTTGCCAGCAGTAAAAAATGTTCAAAGGTGATGCCTTCCGGACTGTACATTCGGTGTAAAATTGATTAGCTTTCCATTTAGTCCTGCATTGAAGACATTTACGTGTGTACACACAACTGTCGCAAGAAAAGGGTGGGACTCTTTTGAGTTAATGCAGGAAAAATGCCTTTACTGTATGAATGTCAACTCAGAACTGAACTCCATTGACTTCAAGGGGGACTTCCTCCCAGATCGGTCTGGATAGGACGGCAAGCTTATGATTTTAAAATGTTATGCAATGCAATATGGTTCGTCTTGATTTGGGAGCCACCGCTTTGTGTTCTGATTATATTTCCCATATATCACACTAGCACAGTTTTTCTCAACCTGGGGATTGAGACCCCGGAGGGGGGGGTCATGAGGGGCTGTCAAGGGGTCACCAAAGACCATCAGAAAACACAGTATTTTCTGTTGGTCATGGAGGTTCTGTGTGGGTAATCTGGCCCAATTCTATCATTAGTGGGATTAGGAATGCTCTTTGATTGTAGGTGAACTATAAATCCCAGAAACTACAACTCCCAAATGTCAAGGTTTATTTTCCCCAAACTCCACCAGTGTTCACATTTGGGCATATTAAGTATTTGTGCCAAGTTTGGTCCATATCCATCATTGTTTGAGTCCACAGTGCTCTCTGGATGTAGGTGAACTACAACTCCAAAGCCCAAGGTCAATGCCCACCAAAGTTTTCTAGTATTTTCTGTTGGTCATGGGAGTTCCATGTGTCAAGTTTGGTCCAATTCCATCATTGGAGTTAAGAATGCTCTTTGATTGTAGGTGAACTATAAATCCCAGCAACTACAACTCCCAAAGAACAAAATCAATCTGCCCCAATCCCACCAGTATTCAAATTTGGGAGTACTTGTATCAGGTATTTGTGCCAAATTTGGTCCAGTGAATGAAAATACATCCTGCGTATCAGATATTTACATTACAATTCATAACCGTAACAAAATTACAATTATGGTGTAGCAACAATAATAATTTTACGGTTGAGAGTCACCACAACATGAGAAACTGTATTAAGGGGTCAC